CCCCCCCCCCTCCTCCTCCATCTGTGTATGTATGTTCTTCTCTCGCCACCGCCGCGTCATGTAGTATGTTCTTATCTGTAGCACCAGTCGTACACCTCACTGGAGGTTCTTATTCTCAACAGCAGGTCCGATCTGAGCACGTGTTCTTACGGGCATATTCTTAAAAATTGGATTTTTTGAGGCTCAAATTCTTAACGTCGATATTCTTAAGTGCGGGCCGGTTCTGTATACTGCGTGGTGTGAAAGGGTGCGGCATGCGGCACACACCCAGAGAAAGGGCGTAGGTTCACAATTTGGTAAATGAGATCTTGTCGCCGCAATTTCGGCGGTGCGAACAGCCGCAGCTAGCACCCAGAAGTCGCTGTAGCATTGTAGTGAAAGAAGTACGGTAGTTGAGCATGAACACGAACCCATGAAAGCGATAATGGCGGTGGTGATTCAGGGCGGATCCGGTATATGGACGTCGACCTTGGTGGCAAGGTCTGCTCTCGTCAACGGAAGGCATCATCGCCGACCAAGGATCTTACGGGAGAAGAGATGTTTCGAGTGGATGTTTCCGTGTCGGAAGGAATTTTTTCCTTCCGTAGGACTTCGGTTTCACCGAAAAAGTATTTTTTTCATGGGTAAAAACAGTTCTTGCAGCAACAATACAGTAGCGGCTACGATTTAAGGAGGAATGTTTTAGAGAAGGTACGGGTTTAAGAGAGGAAAATCGCTTGGCGCGACCAAACAAAATCGATTTTAGAGAAATTTGGCGTATTTCTGAGATTTTCCCTTACACGAGCTGCTGGAGGCCACGTGACGTAGCCATCACACACATCCCACAGCTCTCAACATAGACACAGCTGCAGACACCATGCCCTGTGCAGCGGGCGACCGCTGCATAATGCCCGACGACACGCCAGGCCCGCCTCATTTCACAAATACTTCTATATTGTTTTTCCACGCACACTAGAGTAAGTATGCCACACGACCACATGATACAGTCCAATCTCCCAGCAAAGGTTCCACGAGCGTACCGTGACTTGGGTCCATATCACTCGCCGACCAACAGACGAAGCTGTGCGTGGAGCTAGCCTAAGGTGCTGACGCTAGCTGGGTCATGTGACATACGCAAATAAATGATAGGCTCTCCATGAGCTCTGACGGCACATACTGCTGGAGTGGGCGTCGGGGTGTCAGTGTTCCACGACCTTTCGAGTTGGCTACGGTATAAGGTAATATTCTCTTAAATAAATGGAGATATGGTTTAGAAGAATATACTACTCTCTTAAAGCGTAGCCAAAACGGTTTAACAGAAATACCGATTTAAGGAAGCAAAATTGGCTTGTACCAACCCTCTCTTCAACCGTAGCCGCTACTGTAATTTAGACTGGACTATAGTTGGGCTTGCCGGTCACGTGGTGCTTGAAGGGTCACGCTAAGCTCCGTTGCATCTCCTCCGTTCACCACACCCTCCCCCCCTGCTGCCGCTCGTTGAGCAATTTCTTCTATAATTCTTGCTTCAAGTTCAGTTCGAACGACGGATCTCTTGGCGTTCCAACGCGCATGCCGTTACTCGATGTTGCCCTCTAGTCTTCTAGTAGTCTAGGATGTTGAAGAATGGAACTATTTTGATGATTTTATGGCAATCTTATTCTTGGACTAGACTACATATTTAGACGAGACTAGAAATCGATTGCCGACTTTCCGGGCAGATTGTTCGAATTGGCCCACCGGTGTGTTTCCCGCCATTCCACAAAAATTCATCTAATAAGAGAGAACTCGATTTCGAGCGTGAACCTACCACAGCCCACGTGATGCCATCCACAATTAATTGGCCATCTCAGCGCTGACGGTCGGTTTCCCCAAACAGCAACACCACGATCAATTTCATTCCTCACGAGAACAGGTTCCAGGATCAAGTCGTGCCCACCGTTGACAACTCGGAACACTAGCCCGAAACGCAGTCCTCTAGATTCGTCTGTGCCGAGCAGAGCAAAGGGAATCCAACACACAAGAAGCAACAACGTGACAAGGACAAGGAGCACCCGCTCAACATCTGCTAGCGCGAGCGCACCACAGCACGCCCACCATAAACTACCACGATCTTTGAACTCAGTCAACAGCAGGATTACATCCGTGACATCGTCGAATATCGGTATGAGGAAATGCCAGAGGTCGACGAGGAAGTCCACGAAAGAGATTACCCACGGTTCCTGTCGCCTGGCACCTGCAAATAAACGCCGAGTATTTGTCAATGATTAGCAAATCCATGACTGCAAGCCATGGACGACAGCACGCAGTTCACCTCGAAGCACTTCTACATCCTGAGTGTCTCCGTGTGAGATTTCCTCAAGATAACACTGGCTTGGAGTAGCTGGTATGAGAGTATCCTGTTTGTAAATATTGCACAACAGCAAGCCGCAGACAGTAAGTTTACGATTGCACCACAACACTTTAGAAGCAATTTTCTACACCATGAATGTCTCACCTGTGAGCGTCTCTTGCCACCGCTTGAGACTTCCTCTAGTCAAATACTACTTGGAGAGAACTGTATACGGGAACGACGAAGCAGTCAAGGGTCCCCAGAGGATGGCAACGTCGTCAGAACATTTGTCAACGCCGATACCAAACGAAAATCGGCAAACAAACCATACTTCAATGCGGCACCTGATGCGAGCAGCATTCAAGAAAACCGACTGGTTCTTGGAAGGTCCTTTTTGGCATCCTGAGAAGCATGAAAACGTTGTGTTCGTCGCCACGTACTCCATACCCAGTAGGCGCCGGGCAACTCGGCGTCGAGCAGGTGCTCCATCTTCACAGCAGTGTAGGCATCGCGTCTTGGGTTGCTTTGAAAGAAATTTCGTAATTTAAGAAGTCAACTTCCGGAGTGTCATGAAATGATCTTGGCAGAAATTGATAATTGGGAGAACTCACCGGTGAGCTCGTTGTCGAACAGAGCGACGTGCGTGAGAGCCCGAAGGTAGCCCAGCTCCTTTGGGATTGGGTCTGTGAGCAAGGCGAACCGAAATCGAAGGTGGTCATGGACGGGGCAGATGTCCTAGCCGGTAATTCCTCCAGAGGTATACCCGTCTGCCTACTCGGTTTGCGGCAGGCCTTACTGACCTGCGCAGGAAAGGTCGGAGCCCTTGATGGATCACCGCTGCAGAACGACAACTCGAGTGGCGAATCTATCGACGTAGTGGCCACGGATGTTCCTCCAATGTTCTTCCACATAAATCTATCAATTACTTTGCACCTTGCTGGGATCTCTCCCCAATGCACCAGGTATCAGCGAGCAAATGACCTTCGGCCCAAAACTCGAACACCATCATGTTTTTCTGTGGAGTGTTGACACTTTCTGTATGCTTTGTATTGACGTCGGAACCGCGGAAGCTCCGTTCCCTGGCGGTGCTTCCCTCGGGGAGAAACAAGGTGGTCAACGTAACAGAGCGGAGTTTCGGCATTTGTTAATAAAATGCCTAGATCTTCTCCGCATCTGCAGACAGACCGCATCCGCTCCGGTACAACAAGCTTACGGTTGGAAGACCACGCGGGCGACTCAAACGAGATTGATCCTTCGACAAGCTACCAGTGCAGAGCTCATCCCAAGGAGCTAGGAGCCCTCACCAACCTGAACAAGCTTTTGCTGGGCAACAACCCGCCTGAAAAAGACGGCGACGAACGAGTGACGCAGCGGCCAGCGACACGTGACACTCAACGGTTGGGAGTGTGCCAGAACTCGAGGAGGTGGCACGGGCAACGAAAGGCCTCAAGAACTGGAAGGCACCCGGCCATGACTCCCTCCCTGCCGAGTTGCTCAAGATCGATGACGACGAACCCTTCGTCCTGGGACACCTCCATACCATCCTCGTCAAGGTGTGGAACGGAGGAGATATTCCGCGAGAGTGGAAGGATGCAACCATCAAGGTGCTGTACAAGAAAGGTCACCGGTCCAACTGTAACAACTACAGGGGGATTTCGCTACTATCTCACGTAGGCAAGGTCCCCATCAAGATCATCACCAACCGTCTAAGCGCCTTCTGCGAAGCCAACAACATCCTCCCGGAGGAACAGTGCGGATTTCGACCCGGGCGATCCACCGTCGACATGCTGTTCGTCGTGCGCCGCCTCCAGGAGCTGGGGCGGAAAAAGATAATACCGCTCTACATGTGCTTTGTCGACTTGAACAAGGCGTATGATTCGGTGGACCGAGAGATTTTTTGGAAGGTGCTGGCCAGGGCCGGGATTCCCGCGAAGCTGATCGAAGTCATCCGCCAATTCTACGCTGGAATGCGGGCCCGGGTGCGCATGGATGACGGAGAACTATCGGACAGGTTATTCGTGACACAGGGGGTGCGACAAGGAGGATGCGTANGAGGGCCGGGATTCCCGCGAAGCTGATCGAAGTCATCCGCCAATTCCACGATGTAATGCGGGCCCGGGTGCGCATGGACGACGGAGAACTATCGGACTGGTTCTTCGTGACACAGGGCGTGCGACAAGGATGTGTACTATCCCCACTGCTGTTCAACATCTTCTTCGCCGAGGTCCTCGAGGTCGTTGTCATCCGATTCAGCGAGGATGATGTTGTTCTGCGGAGCCTGTTGTGCTTGGAGGAGGAGAAGACGGAAGCGGGGGGTGAGATATTCGGCGAGTCGCATGAAGGGTGCGCTGCATCCTGCTAAG